GAGGATCGGTTGTTAGGACCGATGGGTAGTCAGCACCCCAGAATGGCTTGACATGGGTAGTCAGCACCCCAGAATGGCTTGACACGGGTAAGACGGCACCCCAGAATGGCCGTATGGGTAGGTCGGCACCCCAGAATGGCCGTACCGGGTAGTCAGGCACCCCAGAATAGCCTGGCAGTACGTATGTTATGTGTTTGTGTGGTATGTGGTACGTTGGGGGAACTCACTAAGCTTTGTGCTTACGTTTACAGTTTTGTTTTCAGGTACCTCTGCATCGAAGGGGAAGGAGCCGGCGCGGTAGTGGCACGTCATACACACACTCTTCGGTTTCCGCATTTACGAGATTTACTGGGATTGTACTCTGATATTTTGATGGGATGTATAGTTTGACTTTTTAGAACATGGTTACGATGTGTTATGGTGTGATCAAACAATGTTTTTATTTATTAATGTTTTCTAAAGTAATATTTTAAAAATGAAAATTTCGGACGTAAAATTGGGTCGTTACAATATATATATATATATATATATATATATATATATATATATATATATATATATATATATATGAGGACATTTTTTAAATTGAGAACAAATTTGAATCACACATTTCTTAAATAAAAAAACACGTCATTTAAGTTTTAATGAAGAGAGGGCTTATGCGTAATTTAACGTTTCCATGTGCTTTACTTCTTCACACACATAACCATTGACACCCCATACTCTTATCATGCCCTTCGCCTAGCACCGCCTCCTCCCGCTATGCTCCTCCACCAGCAACCCCACCTTACGCTCTTTCACCAATTCTCGATACTTGTTCTAGAAATTCAATGTTCAAACTCGACAATCTAATCCTTCCGAAGGTACTATCACCACTCCTTTCTCTCTCTCTCTCTCTCTCTCTCTCTATATATATATATATATATATATATGTGTGTGTGTGTGTGTGTGTGTGTGTGTGTGTTTAGGTTATTGTATTTTAACTAATTATTATGTGGATGTAGGATTGATTGTGGACCAATCATTCATAATTCATTAAATGAATAAATATACTAGAAAATCGAAAAAAGAAAATATTAATATCAACAAAATGCTTGTCAACCGTACTATAAGGGCATTTGTGTACATTTAGCATGCCCATTTAATTAGGAAACAATGGTATATGTTCATAACAGATTCGATCATCCCCAAAATCTCGCATAAACCGTATCACTAAACATTTCTATCGGAAGAGAAAAGAACGGATATTTTGTAGAGTCAACCTCAAAATCGGATGAGTATGTTGTTCTACTTATTTTTAAAATCATTGTTGAAGAAGTATTGTTCGTTGATTTTAGAGAACATCGACCGTGGGATAACGAGGAATACAAGAGCAAGTTCTTTCAAGTCAAAATTCAAGAACACCGCCACAACAATGTTGAATATTGATGAAGACGATGATGATTTCGATTCTCCATCACAAGGTACAGTGTGACATCCCCATTTTCACAGCTAGAAAAGACCAATTTTGTTTATGCTTTATAAAAATCAGAGTACCGCTTTTAATAAAAATGTGTGAGATTTGTTCCCAGTAAAACATGATAAATACGTTATTAGGGCATTTCCGAAGAAAAGTATTTTTATTCATTTTAAAACATTTGAGATGTCATCGTCAATACAGAGACATAAACATAAACACAACTTACATTCATTATCACTAGTGATTATATCTCATTAATCTCTCAGTGTAATATGACTTCATATCAACACATGTGATATAAATAAATTGAGTGGGTTAGGTTGGCAAAACCTGGTGAGTACATATGATTTTTAACCCACAATAATATAATTATTATATTTAATCATCAAACAGTTAACCAAATTACCCGTCCCCATTATCTTATTTACTCTTAAGGATCTACCCTAAGAATCAGCTATTTCTCATTCATTCATTCCTAAGGATTATCTTAAGGAATAGGTACGAAGGCCATCGTTGTCAATGACATAGCTGCCGGTATTGTCCTTCGAGCTATTTCTCATTCATTCATTCCTAAGGATTATCCTAAGGAATAGGTACGAAGGCCATCGTTGTCTATCACTTAGGCGCAACTTCCAGAATTGTGACATTCTATAGGAGGTGCAGCTGCCAGTATTGTCCTTCGAGCACGACTGCTAGGGTTATCTCGTTTATTGACAGTATCGTTTTCGAGAGTCCACTCGCATATATGTCAATGAGTTTTTAGAGTACACCGGTGAACACATCGTTCACAACACCTACATGTTGCGAGTTTGCTAGTGTTCCACTAGACTGTCTAAAATAATCTGTGGTTGTCATCCATACTCTGCTAAATGACGGGGCCAACATTTGGGAACAAGGCTTCTCACATCATCCACCTCTCACCCTTACCTCATGGTCTATATCACCTCTCAACTCATCATCCAACTCATATTTCATCTACCCATGTTTTACCCAACATATTACATAGATATAAATACATATACGGTTTAAATCATACAAAACTTGTATAAAATCATCCATCCAACATAGACAACAAGTATTCAAATAATATGCAAACATAACACGTAATTTATATAAAATACTTCATATCTGTGTGTAAGATGAAAGGGGCCATGCACTCACCTAAGAAGGTGGTGACTCGGTATTCGGACATCACTTCATTACTCATAACATAATTTTCCTTTGACAAAACCTAGTATCATTACCACTAGAGTTTAGTCTAATATTCATTGAGACTAATTTAATAGTCTAGCTATTATTACTATTATATAAGCATTAAACAATACTTATATAACCCATAATAATATCCCAAATACTTATTATAAGTTCCTAATAACGTTACTATAATGAAATAAAAGTTATATTAAAAATAGTGTATGTGTAGCTTACTTACAACGGGTTTTATAGAAAACCAGACTTCGCTTGCAGCAGTGTTTCCGAACCGAAAAACCATTTTTCTCAAGACTCCGAGAGCCTCGGGGCTTCATTAGGATGCTAAGGGGTTTACCTAGGCTTAGGAAGGGGTTAGGGAAGCTAGAGAGAGAAAGAAACTAGAGAGAAGTGATTTTGGTGTGAAAATAGAGGCAGTCCTCGGCCTCATTTTATAGCCTGGTACTCGGATGTATGTTGGGCGTACAGGTCCTCGAACGCGGGGCATAGTTCGCATCGTACAACACGTGGTGAGGTTTCGGTGGTGGAGCGGGGCTTGTCTCGGAACTGCGCAAATGGTCAGAACGTTGGGCGTACTGGGCTCGGACGCGAGGCGTACTCGGACGCTGGGTGTTCCTCGGCTAAACTAGGCGTCTGAGGTGCGACGTGTCACTCATCCGAAGCGAGGCGTGGGCAACAAGGAATGGCTGAGATTCGGCCACGTCAGCAACTTCGCAAATACGAGTCTCAACTTTAAAAAATCGTAACTTTCACATACGAGCTCCGTTTTTGACGTTCTTTAAATCCACGCGTAGGCGGGAACGTACTCTACAACTTTTGTTTAGACTCTGTTAGCTAATTTTTACTTTATTTTAAATTTTATGTTTTTAACAGGCCATGACAGGATTGGTCCGTTAAAAATCCATAACTTCTTCATCCGACGTTCATTTACATCTGTCTTTTTACCGTTACGCTACTATTAACGAGATCTTTAATTCTTGTTTAGGTTGTGTTGGCTAAATACCGCTTGATCTAATATTCGAACTCCGGGTTGTACACTGCTAAGCCGAAACTTCGAAAAATTATAACTTCCTCATACGAAATCAGATTTGGGCGTTCTTTTTATGAACGCACTTGGTTTATGTATTCTACGACTTTCTCTTAGATCTCTAAGGCTAGATATCATTATATCGTAAATTCACTATTTACGTTTCCCGGTGTCGTGTCGGTTCCGTTGCAAAACTTCGACGGGCCATAACTTCTTCGTTACAACTCGGATTTCGGCATTCTTTATATGTACGGAACCCTTGAGACATATTCTACAACTTGGTTAAGATTATTTATTCTGAATAATCTTTTGTAAAAAAGTTGTTTTCGTCATCTATTATCTCTAAATTGACTAGCCCGGATCTACGGGCGTTACATACAGTTTTGGTACCGTTGTTTTGTTTTGTTTTTTTTCATTCCGATTTTGTCGAAAAATTACAATAGAATATTGGGGAGTACAAATTTTATATTTTTTTATAAGAAATGTATTGTTGAAAAACAGATGAAATCAAACTAATCTACTTGAATTTGTGAGCAATTTTAGGGTTTTGTTAGGGTTTCTAAAAACGAAGGAACCAACAATTCTATGAGAATGCATGTCACTATTGTGGGTTTGCAAGTGTGTTTTGTATGATTATTTCAAAAATTACGATAGTATAATGTGAAGGACAAATGTATTGATTTTGCCAACAGATGTATGCTAGATATCGTTGAAAGTGAACGATTCTACTCGAATCGGTGATCAATTTCACGTCTTTGTTATAGTTTTTTGAAACTGAACTAACCCTTAATTCTAATAGAATGCATGTAGTTGTAATGGGTTTTACTATTAGTTTTTTGTTTGATTCTGTTCGAATATTATGAAAGGAATGTCACGGGTATGAATTCATTGCTTCGGGGATTTTTATGCTTTTAGTGTTATTTTTTCTTTTTATGAATTTTTATGGGTTTCGTTACTTGTAGAAAATTTATGTGCGAAATAACATATAATGTTTGTGTATAATGTAACTATGTTAGAACATTCCAGTAATAAAGTATTATTTGGATTGTATGTCGCTATGTTAGATTGAAATTCTTTTCGAATTTGTGTAACAGATTATGTTAGATTCCATCATTCTTATAGAATGTATATTATATAAGAATGAGTTATGTTAGACTGAATTTTTTTTAGAGTTAATTGAAATATTCTGTTAGAAAGAATGAGTTTTAGATTGTATAAACATAATATTGTATGAGAATTTGTTTTATAATTTATTAATTAATTTTTATAAAACAATCAATCTGTATTACTAATTGTTTATGTGATTTAAGAGTTGTTGCAGAAGCACCACGAAACGTTATTTTGGCTAAGCTACAAGATGAAGTTCAACAGAAGACAATTAATATTGCTAGTACAAGTGTTAAAAAAGAATATATATATATATATATATATATATATATATATATATATATATATATATATATATATATATATATATATATATGAGATCAACACCTAAAAAGAAGAAAGCAAAAAAATTCTTCCATCGATGAACTCTCTTAAGAAGAAAGCAACCCATGAACAATACGAAGAAGAAAATGATTGAAGAAGAAAGCAACCCTCAAATATCAATTTTTGAAATCACATTCTAAAAAATAAAAATTGGTTTGAAACGCAACTCATATAGTAAGAAGGGAAAAAGCGATAAATAAATAGAGAAATAATTAATAAATATAAACATGAAGATTGACAGATATGATATGATACGAACTTTAGAGGCTAAAAGTAAAAATAAAATGCAATAAGGTTGTAGGAGAGCTACATACAGTTTTCAATCTTTCTTCCTCACTTCAACCCACCATTACCAACCAGAAAATCAAAAAGAGAAACAAAAAGGAGAAGTTTATATATATATATATTTTGGAAGAAAATAAATAAAAGGAATACATTTGAATACGAAGCATGGGATCTGAAAAAAAAAAAAAAAGGAGGTGGAGATGATATATTTGTTAAGTTGTAGTTTTATGATTTTGATGGTCATGGTCATGCGTAGTACATGTACAAGCTGTTTGCAGCAGCACACGCGATTGAGTTTTCTGTTGGGTGCCATGCCAGGTGGAGCAGCTTTGTTGTGAAGTCCAATGAGTTCCCATTTGCGTCCACCCCTGGATTCTCTGCTCCTGTTTTATTTTTATTTTATTTTATAAATAAGATTTAAATGATGAATGTGTTCTTGGTGATAATAATAAAATTAAATCTAACCTCGTCTCACTGCACGTGTTATGCTGCTTAGAGAAGATCTGGCAGGCCTTGAAGGCGTCTGTACTTGTCTCCTACAAATGGTATCCGTGTTGTGTTGTGTTTTCATGTGTTTGTAGTTATTCGTCAAATTTGAAGAAATATATAAATCTTGGAGAAAATATGATTTAAGGAAATTTTTGGCTTCGTATTTTTAATAATGGCACCAACCAATTTCCCCTTAATTGTCTACTTACTGTTTTATTATCTATAAAATCGGTTTTTATTCCATGTAGGATTAGATTATAAAAGGGCTAATGTCATAAAAACCCTTAAGTTTGTAGGGTTTTGTTGGTTTTGCCCAAAGTTGAATTTTTTGTCCATTTTTACCTTAATTTTTTCCAAAAAATGTTCGGTTTTACCCTTTTACCGGTGATAACAGGTTACCATTATACTAGCTTCGCAAAAAAACCCTGAAGTTTCTAGTTTTTTACATTTTCACCCTTAAGTTTATATTTTTTTTACACTTTTACCCTTCGTTTTTTTTTTTTTCATATTATATGTTTTTAAAACTACAAGTACATATTTTTATGCATTTAAAAATATACATATCAATAAAAAAAACTTGTTAAATCATAAACATGTTTATATAAGTATATACATATATTCTTAGAAGTATAAATATGTATTTTGATATATGTTTTTTTTTTTTAAGTATAAATATATTTTTAGAAGTATAGATACATATTTATATATAATAATGTAAAAAGATGTATTTATACTTCTAAAAACTATATCTATAAAACACGTATTCATAATTCTAAAAATATTATTTATATTTTTAAATGGTATAACCTTGCAAACACACACACGCAAACAAACACACACACACACACACACACACATATATATATATATATATATATATATATATAACATTAAAAAAATATATAAATACAATATTTAATTAAACATTTTTTCGTATATAAATATGATTTTTCTACATGAATACGTATATTATGAAAAAAATACTTAGGGTAAAAGTGTAAAAAAATTATAAACTTAAGGGTAAAAACGCAAAAAAGGGTAAACTTAAGGGTTTTTTTGCGAATTTAATATAATGGTAACCTGGAAAACCTGTTATTACCAGTAAAAGGGTAAAACCGAACATTTTTTCGAAAATGTTAGGGTAAAAACGGACATAAAATTCAACTTTGGGCAAAACCGACAAAATTCTAAAAACTTGATGGTTTTTATGACATTAACCCATTATAAAATAAAGTAAAAATATTTGTCAAAATTAGAAAAAAAAGTTAACCAACAAGAAAAATGTCATACTAGTTGGGTGTTTTCTTTTCTGTTTTATTTGAACCAAGTTGCTAATTATGCCACATCATCAAATCACAAATCATAAACTGGAAATTACTTGAATGTGCAATTTGGGGGAGAATTAGAAATTAGATTATTACCTCATTGGGTTTTTGCTGGCTTCGAGGGTAGTTGCTTCAGTACTTCCGGGCCCACACCCAAACACACGGAATAAATTGCTGAAATCATTCATTCATATCAAAAACTCATTGGAACACCAGAAACCCAAACAAACAAAAATAACAATTTAAAAAAAAAAAAAAAAAAAATTAATTACCTGTAAGAACCAGTTGCCACTCGCTGGCTGTCGCCACTCAAACAACACTCAAATTTATCGAAAATTGAATCGTTTTCATATAAATCGCAAAGCTGAACCAACATACACAATTAAAAAACATCAATATCAAAAAAAGAAAATTAAAAAAGTTTGTAATAAAAATGGTCAAAGTTAAGTTGATACCTTTGGTCTTAAATGTTCGTGCACTTGGAAAGTTGAAACTGGACCAGAGTCCATGTTGATGTCCCATAGCTGTAAAAAGTATCATAAATCATAAACCTATTTTATATATAATTACCCATAACACCAACATAATTACATTTTTACCCATAATAGCAATATACAAAATGAAACTTATAAGTAGATTGCTATTACGGGTAAAAAAAATATATAAGCATATTGCTATTTTCTCTTGTATAAAAAAAACTACAAACCTTAAGAGTCATGTAATCACGACTGAGTATATATCTCCCACCCCTTCCAAACTTTATATCAGAAATAGAAGCTATTATTTCAGTGAAGAATGATCTAGAACCCGGTGCTTCATGTTCCTCGAATCTATAAAAACAATATTTTTTAAGCGCTTATTTTAATTCAAATATAAAATTCAACAACAAAAAAAAAACACTTACAGTTTAGAATGTTTATCACATAATGCAGACTGACGCAAATCAACAAGGCGAATGGATCCTTTTGAGCTACTATATGCAAGTGTGCTACAATGAGTAGGATGAAATTCAGCACATGTAATCACCTCTGCCATAACAAAAAAAATAAAATTAGTATAGTATTGTATTTAAAAAAAATTAAAGCAAGAAAAGATGTTAAAAAAAAATTATATACCAGTAAGATCTTCCATGTTTGTAGGCTTGACATCAACTATGTTAAAACTTTGATTGCTAATTTCCAAATTCCAAAGGTTAATTCGAAGATCATCAGCTGAGATGAATGTTTCCCCATCACTGATGAGACATGACACATGACGATTTTAAATTTTAATTATCAGTATATTATAATTAATATTATAATAATAATTGGGTGTTGAAACTTTAATTTAACAAATCACAAAACCTGTTATTTGAGATTGAGTTGATATGGTAGTCATGGGCGTGAGCATACACTCTTCTACATCTTGCAGCAAGGCTGGTTTCATTACTAGTTACCTACAAAATAAGGTTGGAATATGTCATAGTAGTGAAAGATAAGGGTGATAAAATGAAAAAAGTGGAAAATAGGAGGGTGGTAAAGAGAAAATGTACCACAGGTAGACGCAGTGATGGGATGCCACCTGGAGGAAATTTGAAGTCAATGGAAGATTTATCTTTGGATCCCCCGTTTACAATATATGTACTTGAAGTAGCAGCATTGGTCTTTCCAACAGCTTTGGAAAGGTCTATGTTCATGTTCATGTTCATGTTTGCAATTTTCTTGACTTTCTTCTCTTGAACCTGTATAACACGTATGAAGCTGTTACCACAAATGAAAGTAAACGAAAGGAGATTAGAGTAATTAGTAATTACCTTCCAGAATTTGATGGTTTTATCATTAGTAGACAGAAGAAAGAGGGCACCATTGGCAGTTTGACACCATCTAATTTTGTTGATTTTCTCTTCAATCTCCAAACTCTTTAAATAATCAAACTGAATGAAAAAATTCAAGATGTTGTATGAATTGAATAAAACATCATCCATCAACTGGTATATAAATAAATAAAAGGGTTCAAAAAAAAAACAAAAGAAACCTCAGGTTCATGGCTCTGGAACTCAGTTTTGTAGCGAAACTCAGGGTGTTTACTTATTGAGTAATCAGTCTTCTCTAATTCCTTTCTACTTGCAACATGCTACACAATGCAGCAAAATTAGTAAAAAAAGATAAACTAAAAGTACAAAATGCAAATATATAAAACAAAAACAAAATTTAATACAGCATAACTGACCTCCTTTGTATCTGTTCTCTCAAATAACACCACCCTTCCCCCACGATCACCAGTCGCAAGGTGATCACCACTTCTATCAAACTCAATTGCTGAGATGATATCAACTGCAAAAGAATTTGCAAATAAATCACATAGCTTGTGTCTTCATTCTAAAAAGAAAGTATATAAAAAGAAAATATCTAGCCAAAGTGTGATAGAGTGAAAGAAATCGAAAGAAATATCAACTGGTGATTCTCGTGAATCTATGACTTTTTTTCGGTCAATCTTGCGTGTCAAAGCACGTGCAGTTCAATTTCAACACCAATTACTAGTTTTAGGATCTAATAAATAGCAAAAATATAAAATAAAAAATTTATGTTAACCCCCCACACGTCATTGCCAACAATGTAGCAACTATATAACACAAACACATGAGTTCTTCCTCCAAATATGTAAACTGAGAATAGAAGGCTAGACAATAACCTTCTAATATTGGATATAATAATTATAATTTATCACCATCTACCTAAATTGCACTATATCTTCGAGTAATTTCACTCACCTTTTCGTGATAATGGATTAAAGCCAGGTGGTTATGTATGATGTATGCGTGTTGTATGAATTAGATACCCGTGTTAATGTATGTACAACAGAAATAACTAAAAGTGGCTTCTTGATATCAATGAGTTTAACAAGCTACAGTTCCTGGACGCATGTTGAAATAAATGAAAGATGTTGAATCCTTTCAGATGCTTACAGCTCCTGAACATGCATTTTTTTTAAATGTGATGAAGGAAAAAAGAAGAAAGCTTGATTAACGGTAACTTGATCAGAGTAAATTGGCAAGTTTTTCTGTTTATTTTATTATAATCCTTCGGAGTTCGGATCAATAACTCGGTCAAGTACCAGTATTTAACCTAGTTTAGTTGTTTTCATAATCAGCGATCAATCACTAATGTGTCGATCCATGAAGCGGATCAAAGAGATACTTTATCCAAACCCTAATATAAATCTGCGGATCCACGTAATAATAAGAAAAATTAATAACAACCTTAATTGAAGCTACTTACCTTCTTGAACTTCTTCACCGGCGGTGCGTTCACCAAACACCTGTGAGAATTTCCAGTCAAGCGGCGGTGGTGGACCCGCCGGAGCTGCCGCGACATCTCCTCCATCACCACCGTTCATCTCCTCTTCTTTTTCTTGATAAATTAATCAACAAAACGACAAAAAAACAACGAAAACTCTCCAAACTCAAATCAAATCACGACCGCATCACTGGATCGCTTTTTTTCCGATTAGCATTTCTTGAATCACGGTTTCCAGATCGTCAGGCAAATCCATGAATAATAATGTGGCATTTGAGGTTGAATTAGCCATTAACAAGCATCATCTTTGTCGTCGTCAAGAATACCGCATCGATTCATTCATAGATTGAGATTCAATTTTCTCCCTGCTCTTTGCGCACACACTCCCTCTTTTTTCTCTGTAGTCGGGAAGGATAAAATTGGAAATATGAAGTGACCAAACCCTTTTCCTTGTTTTCATTTTATACGATGTAATAATATATTCTAAACCAATGTTTGTTTTTAGGGATAAGAAAAAAAATTCATTTTGGGTGACACATACAACAAAGTTTCAACTTTATTCAAAAAGGTATTTTTCTTCCTTTCACATTCTATTTGGATCATAGATCATGTAGTAATTAAAGTATTCAAATGATTTTGAAATGGTATTAAGTATTAAGATTTTAGTATACATTTAAGACCATTAGAATTTAGGAGATGTCTGGAACATTTTTGAAGGGTGTGGATTAAGGTTTGACAATCATAAACTAAAAAACTTTTGAAACTGCTAAGTTGTAGTATGTAGGTAGACTCGATTGGGCCAGTTTCAGGACACATCCTGATAGTTACGAACCCATAACAAAATGTCAATGGTAACACATTTAAATTTTAAGGGTAGTAGGATGGAAATTTTGCATTGCACCAAAAAATTCAAAAATATTTCATTGCACCTAAAAATTTGAGGGGTGGCATGGACTACCCCGGGATCCCACTAAGGTTTGCCCCTACATATTAACTCAACTGAGTAAATACCTACTTGTGATCAAATTTTCAAACTTGTCCAAATTAACTCAAATTTCTTCCATGGCTTCATTACCACTTACTATATGTTATGATATAGCTAAATTAAGATAATTGGGGTTTGAAGCCATGATCGAGAGGATCTTAAGTGATTTATCCATTGATAATTAACATAAATGTTAGCCATATGTAACTATTAAGTGTCTATACAACACTAGAAATACAGATAAATGCTAAAGTGAAATAGTTTCATAAATACAAGTCTATGAACTTAATTTGTGAATTAGTATATGGGAAATCTCCGAAAAAAAATCTCAATATTTTACCCTAATTTCAGAGTAGTCACTCACAGTGGGATTAAATAATCTCAGAGTAGTCGATTTGATCCTATTGTGCAGCTCTCGTCTGAGTCCAACTGTTGCAGGATGGATCTTTTACTCGAAGGATTATTTGAGCCATTTGTCAAGAATAAGTGCTCTATTGTTGACTATGGGCAAGTGATTTTGCTTCCATTGGTAGCATCAAGATAATCAAGGCATAAAGTGTACGGCTGGACGGATATTCGAGGAAGATTAAGCATAGTAAAGCTCAGCATGAGCGGTCTGTCAGGGAGTCAGACCACCTCTAGACTGCAGATTTCAGACGAAGTAGATGTGATCTTGTTGCAAGAAATATGTTCATTTCCGGGTTTTAGAACCATGCGAGAGATGATTTAGATGCATTGGGAAGACTGTGGCTATGCTTGGGGTTGTGGCCATATTACTAAAGTGGTTCAACGTGTAACGAATGGTAAGGAATGATTTCGAGGACGAAATCTAATTTAAGTGGGGGAGAGTTGTAACACCCCGTTTATTTAATAAATAAACTAATTAATTAATAAATGTATAGTAACCCTAAAATAAATAATTATATAGTATGGTGTTGGTCTCGAGGAGTTAATTGTCACGATTCTAGAAGTTGGGGGTTAAAAGAGTAAGTTCCGGATTGGTTTTGTAATAATTTATGAAGGCAGGGACTAATTGTAACTTCTGGGACTTCATTTGAAGAGATTTCAGAGGCTAGGGGGTTGTTTGGTAAATTAGGGATCGAATTTGAGAGGAATTATGGAAGTAGGGTTTAAATGGTAAATTTTTGTCTAAGATTGAAAGAAAAAGGGAAGGGAGGGATTGTTGTTGTCATTATGGCAAACTTTTAGAATGGATTAGGGTATTTCAAGGTTCCGCAAACCCTAACCCTAATCAACCATCTACAACCGCCACATCTCCGGATCTTCCTATTGTCGTCGCCAATCTCCAATCGCACCACCCTTCTCCTTTAATTTTTGGCGCCGCACCATCATTTTCCTTTTCTTCCTGTCGTTCCAGCCATCGTCCCCTCGCCTGTGAAGTCGGAGAACATCTGAAGCCAACGTCGGAGCGACTGCCAACAACGATAGGAGCCTTATGGACGTCACCTCAGTGGCCGGAGCCATAAGTCACAAGAGTAGCTATCGTCAACCGGTGAAGACGTTAAACTTGTCACCTATGCGTCGTTACCCGTCGTCAACCACCGAGATACACTGTCATGGTTAGTGTTGTTGCCGCTGCTGCTACCCATTCTCATGATCGCTACGTTCCAACCATAAGCCACCGCCACCACCGTGAGGTGGTGGCTGTCATCGCCAAATCACCGCCGTTGTGCCACTCGTTTTGATGTTGTCATTGCCACCCACCACATGTGGGTGTTAGGTTCGCTTTGCAAGCAAAAACGTGTGTGTGTTTCCATTTGTAGTGTGTGATTTCAGTTGGCCGGAAAATCGTGAGAAAGGCCACCACCACCATTGGCCACCACAAAGGTGGTTGTATGTGCGTGTTTATTTAGGGTTATTTTATAGTAAAACTGTAATAGTGGCTAAAATAATGAAAAGAAAACTCAAAACCACCATCGTATGTCGCCTCCTACCGCCACCAGCCGCCATGTTGGGTGGCGGTGTGCTTGTTGTGTTTTGATTCGTTGGGATGTTTGGAAAAATGGACTAAAACCCTAATGGGCCTTATAAACCTAAATTGATCTAAGGACTTGGTATTGGGCTTATTGAGTTGGAAACCCTAATTACGATTTAGAAAACCCTAATTTTGGATATATGTGCCTTGGACGTATCGGGACCCACATCTGGGCCATTGGAATGGAATGGTGAATTACACCCAATCACACCATATGATTTATTTAGAAGAGTGATGGACTTAATGGATTAAGTCCTTAATGGGTTAAGTGAGAAACACTTAACCCTAATTATCATTTTATGTGAAATCATAATTTCACTTGGGCTTTATGTTGGGCCTTTCTATCGGGATTTGGTGATTGGGCCAATATTAGGCCATCCAAGAACAATCAAATGGACTAGAATAATTTAACGGACTTTAGGGTAAGGCCCATGTAAAAGGTTTGGGCCTAATTTGGAAAATTGGGTCATAGATTGGCCATGATTGGGCCTTCATGATTATGAGATATTGGGCCATTAGAAATGCCAACTGTTGGACTGAACTAAATGGTTGGGCTTTTGATTAAGACCATGTAAAGGTTTTGGTTTAAATTTTGAAAATTGGGCCATATGTTGGGCTTTGATTCATAGTTTAACTT